GAATCCATGTGTGAACTGTCAGGAGCCATGTGTGAACTGTCAGAATCCATGTGTGAACTGTCTGGTCCCATGTGTGAACTGTCAGAATCCATGTGTGAACTGTCAGAATCCATGCGTGAACTGACTGGTCCCATGTGTGAACTGTCAGGGGCCATGTGTGACCTGTCAGAATCCATTTCTGAACTGTCTGGTCCCATGTGTGAACTGTCAGAAGCCATGTGTGAACTGTCAGAATCCATGCGTGAACTGACTGGTCCCATGTGTGAACTGTCAGGGGCCATGTGTGACCTGTCAGAATCCATTTCTGAACTGTCTGGTCCAATGTGTGAACTGTCAGAATCCATGTGTGAACTGTCAGGAGCCAGGTGTGAACTGTCTGGTCCAATGTGTGAACAGTCGGGCACCATGTGTGAACAGTCAGGGGCCATGCGTGAACAGTCTGATCCCATGTGTGAACAGTCGGGTGCCATGTGTGAACTGTCAGAATCCATGTGTGAACAGTCGGGTGCCATGTGTGAACTGTCAGAATCCATGTGTGAACTGTCAGGAGCCATGTGTGAACTGTCAGAATCCATGTGTGAATTGTCAGGAGCCATGTGTGAACTCTCAGAATCCATGTGTGAACTGTCAAGGGCCATGCTTGAACAGTCTGATCCCATGTGTGAACAGTCGGGTGCCATGTGTGAACTGTCAGAATCCATGTCTGAACTGTCAGAATCCATGTGTGAACTGTCAGGAGCCATGTGTGAATTGTCTGGTCCAATGTGTGAACTGTCTGGTCCAATGTGTGAACTGTCTGGTCCAATGTGTGAACTGTCAGAATCCATGTGTGAACTGTCTGGTCCCATGTGTGAACTCTCAGAATCCATGTGTGAACTGTCAAGGGCCATGCGTGAACAGTCTGATCCCATGTGTGAACAGTCGGGTGCCATGTGTGAACTGTCAGAATCCATGTCTGAACTGTCAGAATCCATGTGTGAACTGTCAGGAGCCATGTGTGAATTGTCAGAATCCATGTGTGAACTGTCAGAATCCATGTGTGAACTGTCAGGAGCCATGTCTGAACTGTCAGCAGCCATGTGTGAACTGTCTGGTCCAATGTGTGAACTGTCAGAATCCATGCGCTAAATGCCAGGAGCCATGTGTGAACTGTCAGAATCCATGTGTGAACTGTCAAGGGCCATGCGTGAACAGTCTGATCCCATGTGTGAACTGTCAGAATCCATGTGTGAACTGTCAGGGGTCATGTGTGAACTGTCAGAATCCATGTCTGAACTGTCAGGAGCCATGTGTGAACTGTCAAGGGCAATGCGTGAACAGTCTGATCCCATGTGTGAACAGTCGGGTGCCATGTGTGAACTGTCAGAATCCATGTCTGAACTATCAGAATCCATGTGTTAACTGTCAGAATCCATGTGTGAACTGTCAGGCACCATGTGTGAACAGTCAGGCGCCATGTTTGAACTGTCAGAATCCATGCGTGAACTGTCAGAATCCATGCGTGAACTGTCAGAATCCATGTGTGAACTGTCAGGCACCATGTGTGAACAGTCAGGCGCCATGTTTGAACTGTCAGAATCCATGCGTGAACTGTCAGAATCCATGCGTGAACTGTCAGAATCCATGCATGAACTGTCAGGAGCCATGTGTGAACTGTCAGAATCCATGCGTGAACTGTCAGAATCCATGTGTGAACAGTCGGGTGCCATGTGTGAACTGTCAGGAGCCATGTGTGAACAGTCTGATCCCATGTGTGAACTGTCAGAATCCATGTGTGAACAGTCGGGCACCATGTGTGAACTGTCAGAATCCATGTGTGAACTGTCAGAATCCATGTGTGAACTGTCAGAATCCATGTGTGAACTGTCAAGGGCCATGCGTGAACAGTCTGATCCCATGTGTGAACTGTCAGAATCCATGTGTGAACTGTCAGGGGTCATGTGTGAACTGTCAGAATCCATGTCTGAACTGTCAGGAGCCATGTGTGAACTGTCAAGGGCAATGCGTGAACAGTCTGATCCCATGTGTGAACAGTCGGGTGCCATGTGTGAACTGTCAGAATCCATGTCTGAACTATCAGAATCCATGTGTTAACTGTCAGAATCCATGTGTGAACTGTCAGGCACCATGTGTGAACAGTCAGGCGCCATGTTTGAACTGTCAGAATCCATGCGTGAACTGTCAGAATCCATGCGTGAACTGTCAGAATCCATGTGTGAACTGTCAGGCACCATGTGTGAACAGTCAGGCGCCATGTTTGAACTGTCAGAATCGTTGCGTGAACTGTCAGAATCCATGCGTGAACTGTCAGAATCCATGCGTGAACTGTCAGAATCCATGCGTGAACTGTCAGGAGCCATGTGTGAACTGTCAGAATCCATGCGTGAACTGTCAGAATCCATGTGTGAACAGTCGGGTGCCATGTGTGAACTGTCAGGAGCCATGTGTGAACAGTCTGATCCCATGTGTGAACTGTCAGAATCCATGTGTGAACAGTCGGGCACCATGTGTGAACTGTCAGAATCCATGTGTGAACTGTCAGAATCCATGTGTGAACTGTCAGAATCCATGTGTGAACTGTCTGGTCCCATGTGTGAACTGCCAGGAGCCATGTCTGAACTGCTTTCATTCAGTTCCGGAAACGTCCAAATTTATAAAATTTATAATAAACTAAAAATAAGAAATTTTTTGGGGAATCATAAATAGCAAAAGGCATATCTCCACCATATGGCGAATGTGTGTACAAAGTTTCATAAAGATATATCCAATAATTCTCAAGTTCTGCTCTGGAAATGGAACCCACTGCTCCCATTCAATTCAGTGATCGAGTCCAAATTTCAAAAATAAATTTAAAATACATTAAAAACGCAGGGGTAACCTAAATAGCAAAAGGCACATCTCCACCATATGGTGAATGTGTGTACCAAGTTTTGTGTAGTTATCTCTTATGCTTTCAGGGTTCTGCTCAAGAACTGAAACGTGACAGGATGGAGCCGGTTTCTATATCCCCCGCCAACCTTACCCGGGCTGGACCCGTGAAGATCCGGGGAAGAATAGATCTTCAGCAACCAATGCTTGCTGTAAAAGGCGACTATGCTTGTCGTAAGAGGCTTCTAACGGGATCAGGTGGTCAGACTCGCTGACTTGGTTGATGCATGTCATCAATTCCAATTGCATGGATGGATGCTCATTATATTAATCACTGGATTGTCTGGTCCAGACTCGATTATTTAGACCAACATCATAAAGCTGGAATATTGCGGCTTTAAACAAACCAACCAATCACTAGGGCCGTGGGTAACAAAGGAGTCTTGTGCAAGGAGTCAGTGGCAGATTCCATTGAAACTATCCACTAGTATGGCCTTGATGGTACACACTAGTAGTGAATGAGTGAGTTTGGTTTTATGTCGATTTAGCAATATTCCAGCAATATCACGGCAGGGGACACCAGAAATGGGCTTCACACATTGTACCCATGTCGGGATTCAAAGCCGGGTCTTTGGCGTGACGAGCGAACGCTTTAACCACTAGGCTACCCAACCGCCCCGTACACTCTGGTAAGGTCACATGCATGCTCATACAACCATCGTCCATTCAAGCAAAGGAATTCGCATATTTATTCAGTGCAAAATGGCAGAGAAGTTTTAACATAGATACAGTATACTGAGCTGACCAGTACCTTACTGCCGAGCGCCAGTCAATTAACGAGAAAACATAATTTATAATGTTGTCTCTGAATATTCAACCATTTATTCCAGGATTTATCTATCACTCCAAACAAAGTGCCCCTGGTGGGCAATTTGGGAAAAATTATTTTGTTCAAAAATTGGCATTTTCTTAAGTTCATAATTTCTTGAATTCAGAGGAATTTTAACATTCATTCTGAGATTTCATTTAACTCAATAACATAAATTTTATGCAATCAGACCTCTTCATCTTTGTTGGTCTTGTAATCAGTGATATACAGGTTACCTCAATAGAGTCGTAAAATTAGCAAGGATTTATCTTGACCTGAATGTCAGCCCCAAGTCTGCAAGAAATGTGATTACAAATGCCCAAATTGGAATTTAAAAATTCCCAGTTCATGTTAATACATGTATAACTAATAACTAATTTTACGGCTTTGTAGATGTAACCTGTTCTTCACATGCAGTGGGAGTAATGAGGAGGAAGTGTTTTATATCAAAGCATTGAATGCAATCTCAATATACAATGTTAAAATTGATCTGAATTTGAGAAATAAGACCTTAAAATTATATTTAATTTTTCCACAAAATATTTTATTTTCTGAATTGTCCCCCCAGAGGCTCTTAGTTAACAATCCTAAATTAATCCCTATATAAACAATTACAGGAACTTGGAAGTATATACCAATCTGGGAATTCTAAGTGACGTTTGCTGCACAGGTCTAATTGAATCCTGTTTTACCTATACTTAATTACACCTAAATTTCCTCACAAAGCCAAACATTGGGAATGGCTTAACGTTTCATGACTTGAGGCCTCAAAGTTGCGACTAAAATAGTTTTTTGATTAAAGATAATTTAAAATGCTTTTGACTACCTTAATTTTTGGCTTGTCTTGTTGATTTTATAAGTGGCAACCTGGAAAAGAGTACTTGTAGTGAGTGAGTGAGTGAGTGAGTGAGTGAGTGAGTGAGTTTGGTTTAACGCCGCTTTTAACACTATTCCAGTTATATCATGGTGTGTCAGCTTAATGTGGGAGGAAAGCCCGAAGTGATGCAGGTCTCAGGCGTTTACCACTTCAGTGAAACCCACGAGCACGGGTATGGTGCTGACAAACCTAGAAACATAATCGGGGCGAACCGGGATTCGAACCCACAATCATAGGTTGGGACGCAACTCTGCACAGCAAATCGCGGCGCCTTAGACGACTGGGCCACCTGTGCCCCCAGTACTTGTAGTATGGCTTCTAGTTAAAGAAATTTAACTTTGAGGCCTGTGACTTGGTAACAGATGACTGATCAAAACAATGACACTGTTTTGCACCTGTTAAGTTTTATTCAATAACAACTCTACAGGCATTTGTTTTTCCCCATTTCTTCACCTTCAGAAGTTCCTGAAAAGAAAACAAAATCAGTCACAAGATATGTCGACAGCAAAAATATCATTATCATGGTTAATAAATGAATACATCACTCTACTTGTGAACAATAAATATAATCTACATTCCACAAGAAAATATGTGATCTAATTTCACAATGGGTGATCAATATTTCAGCAATGAAATATTATATTATTAATGCGACTTACGTAACCATGGTAACATGCCATATCAACAGATAATGTGTGTACTTGATGACCAGTTACTTTTGTCTGAAAATGGCTATATGTTTTTGTTTCCTTCTCATTAATTACAATTAAAGAGTGACTGAGTGATTGAGTGGACATAGTACAGCTTTATGTTGCTGTCAGCAATGTCAACCACAACCCAGCAAGGAACACCAGGAATAGGCTTCACATGTATCTCATATTGAAAGATTCTTGTTGTTTTTTTGTTTAACGCTCAATGAGCAATATTCCAGCTATATGATGGCGGTCTGTAAATAATAGTCTGGACAACAATCCAGTGATTGATATCATGAGCATCGATCCATGCAACTGGTATCAACCATGTCAGCGAGCCTGACCACCCGATGCTGTTAGTCATTTCTTACAACAAGCATAGTCGCCTTTTACGACAAGCATGGGTTGCCGAGGACTCATATTGAAAGAAAACAACTTACTTTGCAACGATGCCGTCCCTCTTACCCAATCTGTTCAGGCAATCATCAGATTCTCCCTGCAACACAGACCCCACTAGCTTCATAACAGTGTATAAACACGGCAAGCTGTCGAGACATTCAAAACAACACTGAGTATGAATCAACAAAAGTTATTGACCAAAGGATGTGCTTATTGGGGTATCAACACCATGATCATTGCAGCATTCAGAGAGTTATGTGAATCAGGTTTTATTCCATCAAGAGAAAAATGGACAGTTCATCTCTTTAATACCAATCCAGTCTGGTCCAGCAGAACAATCCTGGCAGGTTGCAACAAAAGTACTACAGGGTTTGAATTAATGTAAGACTGCAAGTCTTTAGGAATGGCTAGTGCAAAAATGTGTGAACAACAGTTTTCACTAAAGTGACTATAGTATTAGCTAAATGGCCAATCTGTATCATTTCTTTGTGTTTTATTGCCTCACTTGACCATATGACGACAGTCTGTACATAATCCTTCCAACCTTAACCATAATGATTGACATCATGAGCATCAATCCACACAGTCGGGACATGATTATGCAATCAACCAAGTCATCAAGACCATATGATCCCCACTACAGTCACATAGTGGCTCACACATCAGTACAGCGATATCATCCAAGCCATATCTCCTGTGGAAGCCAGTTCTGGATGATAAATATGTATCCTCATTACATCCTGTTCATCAGCTGAACACTAAAATGGACGCTTTACATGTAAGTGCATATTGTCCAGGTGATGGAGGAACACAGTGTACCAGAGCTCCAGATAAGCTTTTGGTGTTGTGGGTATTTTACCCATGCATTTTAAAATCATTGGGTGGGTATTTTACCCATGCATTTTAAAATCATTGGGTATCAGTAGTTCTATCTGGGTATTCAAATTTCTGTTACCCACTAGTTTTTACAAATGTGGGTATTTAAGTTAAATATTTAAAAACACTGTTCATCTAGTCCCTGCAAACTGGTGTCGTGTTGGTTCAAAAGCTTTATAGGACTCAAAAATAGGATACTTCCACAAGAAAGTGTGATGGCAAATGATCATGACGTAACCGTCATCGTGGAGTTTGGCAAGGTTGACGGAATGTCCGTTTATAATTTCAAAATAAGTTGCTGATTTGCTAATCGAATACGCAGGGTAACTTCACAATATTTTGATGATACGCACAAGTTTTATTTTTGTAGCGAATCTGTAATGTCCGTTGCGTATTCGATACGTTTGGATCTTATTTTACTGCATATTTCTGCATTTTTTATGCGTATTTTACGCAGATACGCAGCTTATCTGGAGCTCTGGTGTACACATACCCTTCATGTACTGAGGGACAGACACGGCTACAAGTCTGAGACTAGGAACAATCTAGACAGACTAGTTTTATCCCTGAAATGCAGATATTTGACATAACGATATGACAATGGTGTCTAGCCTTGAGCAGTGATGTGCAGATATATCCACGGTACTCACCATCCTCCTGATGGCCCCACAGATGGCGTAGGTGGTGTTGGTGCCTGTCATGCGACCAGTTGAAGAATCAACCTGGGACAAAAAGACACAAATAATTTTTAACATATGATATGGCTACCTTTTCATTTAAATTTTTGTCTTCAGATAACAAGAGTCAGAGGCAATTCTCATTAGTGGTTTGTGATGGTAATCAAAATACCTGATAATCAATGTATACAGGTAAACTTGAAAAAAGCTGAAGTGGACATGGTGTGAAACAAATTATTTTGCCAGAGCCCCAACAAAGGCATGTAAAAACATCTTTTGGTTTGGGGGAAGTATGGTTTCACACCTAATATTCCAGCATATCACGAGAGACACCAGAAATGGGCTTCACACATTATACCCATATGGAGGATCGAACCGGGGCCTTTGGCATGACAAACAAATGCTTTAACCATTAGGCTACCCTACCATGGCTTTATGTTTGGAATGCAATACAGATATCAGATTACAAGCATTATCATACTTAGATTAAAATTTCAAAGATGGAAAGAATATTACATAACTTCCACTTACAAGAACACTATTTCTTGTCTCTCTACTAATTCAAGTTTAAAAAAATATACTTTCAGAAAAAACTACATGCAGACTCAGCAAGGTATAACTCATAATACTAGCAATACTGTGTCAAACAATCATGACTATGTCAGGCTCATTACTACATGCATAAAATGGCTTGATCTGGCGTCCCTTTCACTTACATTGGCTAGGTTGATCTGGATGGAGGCATGGTCTTTTGCAGCAATGATGCGGTTGCTTGCAGAGCTGTAGAAAACAAAAATAACATTGACTCATCACTGTCAGGGTTCAGCATGCGAGGTAGTGAGAGCAGTTCAGGGGAATTACAGGTGTTAATTAACACTGCTGTGAGCAGTCTTTCATGTCAGCAGGAAAACAACAAGAAGAGGTATTTCTGTAGCTTTGCAAGATGAAGATGACAGTAACAGGTAACTATGATATTATTTTACATTGTAAAAGTATTTGCAATAAATACAGGAAATAATAATAAGAAAAAGCAAGATTATATATATAATAAATCGTTTCTTTTTCCGTTCTATTTAGCCTGCACTCTCAACATGGCAGTATCCTGCTAAGCATGCTAAGAGGCGCATATCATTGGCAGTGTGATTACTTTTTAGAAGGTCACAATCACCTGTAGGTGAAATAGGGTGTGATATAGGGTGAAATAGGGTGTGATGTCACGTTCAAGATTATTGCACTTCTTCAGCAACGTGCATGCACTTGTGTGTGGCCTTGTACTAATCCAGACTAATGCCAATTTGATAGTGCTAGCACACTGAGATAACATGCCACAGTTTAACATGAATGCCCCACTCAGACATAGTATATGGACTCTGAGCCAACCAGTCTTTGTTTTAGCCCCTTAGTGACAAGACCTGTGAAGGTCTGGGGTAGAATAGGTCTTCAGCAACCCATGCTTGACATAAAAGGTGACTATGCTTGTCGCAAGAGGCGACTAACAGGATAGGTTGGTCAGGCTCGCTGACTTGGTTGATGCATGTCATCGATTCCAATTGCGTGGATCAATGTTCATGGTATTAATCACTCTATTGTCTGGTCCAGACTCAATTATTTACAGACTGCAGTCATATAGCTGGAATATTGCTGAGTGCGGCATTAAACAACAAACCAACAACTTACTGACGAGTGCCAGTCAGGGTGAGCACAAGTACTATCTTTTAACGTCTCTCGGTATGATATGGCCAGGGATCACATCCCTGACCTTCCTCTCTCCGGGCAGACGCTCTACCACTAGACCACAGAGTTGGTCTCAGAGGTATGGTGTCAACAGACCCAGGATCCCAATGGTACATAAGCATTGTACCAGAATAGGCATCACATATTCATGGGCCAGCCAAATCTAAGGCTCGTGGGGATTCTGCATGCAGGAGTGACTGATTTTCGCCTTATACTGATTTGAACAGTATTTCAGCTGAATCGGTGTGTCAGCTAAGGTGGTCCTGGTAGTAGATGTTTGGTGAAACCAACGAGTTCAGGTATGCTGCTGAAAACTAGAAACACACTCAGTGTGAACATCTGGAATCTGAAACCATGATTCTAGGCTCCTGGCACCCACAAGAGTCGCAACCCTGCACAGTGCATTCCAGTGACATCTGCCAGTGGGAGTAGTGCACTTTACCGGACTCACTTTGCAGATTTCAAGTAGTGATGTATGGCAGATCGAACTCACCTTGCCAGCTTGAAGCTAAGCTAGGCTAATGGGTTATCTAATTAACCAACACCCAACCTCAGGACCATTGGCGCTTCACAAACAATTTAATGCCTGTTTACCAAGTTATCAGGACCCAATTGATTACCTTCAAACATGTGCAGTAGCCATAGTCTCTACAAAACTACAAAAATTGTCCTAAGTTTGCTCAAATTATACTCGGACCCCATGGTACCGCGGCATTCATCGTATCGCGGCATTTGTGATTTCCGATAGTTCACGCGGGACACGCCTCTTAGCGGCTGTCTATTAATGCAAATCAGTAACCAGGAAGTGCTCACTTCGTAAACAATTTCAATTTCCTCGGAATGTTCCGTCTGCTGTAAGTAAGGAGTTATTAATCCGTTGATACATATTTCTGGCATCTGTTGTAATATTGCCTTACCCCCATCTATCAATGGCCAACGATATAACCCGCAGTTCCCCAAGTAAACTTTCTCTATCGACCTGAACTAGATCATCTGCATATTCATGGCGACTAATGAGGTAACGGAAGTTACGTAGTCCGCACATTTATTCCCGCTCTGTGCCCAGAATCTATTGTGAGATCATAAGGGCCATAATGCCAAACTTAGAAATACGTTCTTCACTAGTAACCAAAACATAAATACATACTTTGGGCATACTAGGAGTGCTTTTTATATATTTATTGTTGACTTTTAACATTTTTCCATTTTGTGACAAATTATTGTCATCCAAGTTTTTTTAAACAATCTTAAAATATCATTTCTGATATTATGATGTTGACTTATAAAAATATTTTTCTCTTACTTTTCGGTAAATATGCATTGAATACCTATTGCTGATAACACATTTAGAATTTTACTTGTGCTGTCTTTGCACTTGTCAGGACAAATCACTGATGTCTGGCATGATCATACCAAGTGGTTGGTAGAATTATGTCCTCTTTTTGTCCAATTCGGACCTCCATACACAACTTTTCTCTGTACCGCGATACGATGGAGTTCTCTCCCTTGTCAAACAGAGCGCGAGGCCCGGCTTTTACTCGGCGCTACTAATGTAAATAACGAACTTTTATCAGTAAAATATGCATTGTTAGATAGAATAAATGACATCTGATATAGAGAACACGAATAATCATAAAGGTTAGTGAGTGCATTTTGTTCCGTTCAGCGTACATGACAAGTACCGCGATACCCCGAGGTTGCAGGCTACATCGTTATAATTTGTGAAAAGAGATAGCTAACCCATACCTTACAACATAACTCTAAGAATCATAAATGGGTGTTAAATCGGAAAGGAGTGCCTCACCCTCAGGATATCAGGGGGTGCTTCATCAGTCACAACCCGTAAGTGTTCAAATGAATCAAAAATTTGTGAAAATATATTGGATTATGCCTTCCTCTGTTCAGTAGCCATGACGTGCTCTAAACGTAAGTTGCGTCGAAGTAGGGCTTATTTCGTAATTTGTGTAGGGTTTGATCAGTGAAGTGCAAATGATCAAGTGGGACAGTGCAACTCAAACACTTTGTCATTTCTCATTGTCCCCAATTTTTGAACGACGACTGTCCTGAGACATGCTGCTTTTCACGACAATCCAAATAGCTGCCCGCTTACCATTTTCTGGGGATGTACATATCAACGAATTCGCCTGCTTCGTTTTGCATCTTGACGTCTTATGTTTGACCTGGAATGACAAAACAATCTTCTGTAGATTTAGATCTTCAAAATAATTGACAATAAATGAGATACGGACTGTAAAATCACAGGGCGATCGTGTATACCTGGGCCTCGCAATGGCTGAACCGGAAAGGAAGAGCACATGTCCTTCCCATAATTCCTCGCACCAAAGGGAATTAACTCTTAGTGATGCGCATGTAAAATATCGACGTTGCTCTTTATAAACTCCGAATAAACTCATTGAACACACTTATGAAAATTAAAGGACGTACTTTATGTATTGTTAGGATAGGTTCCTACAGAAACTAACAAAAGCTTCAGGATATGACCGTTTCTAAACATATGTAGAATCTACGTTTTCAGAGACATCTGTAACCCGTCATAATAACCTCGATCACTTTGTATGATAACTCCTATTATATGCTGTATATCAAACAGTTTTAGCTTTGTGATTACATCCATGAGTATACACAAATATGTGCAAAGATTAGCCAGTTTCTTAACCATTAGCGCTCCTTCTTACAGTAGCAACCCAACAGATTGGCGAACGCATTCAGTGAGATGTTGCTGAACATGGATCAAGGCAAAATTGCCCAATACCTTTAGATGAAGACTGAATATTCACCTGCTTCTAAATGGCGATCTAACACATAAATTATTATTTACATAAATAAATATTGATCTTTTACAAACGATTCATGTTAAAACACTTAACTCTACCTCACCCTATCAAGAAAATCCCACTAAACAATGTCAACAACGGAGTTAAAAAAAAGAAAACGATAATGATCTGTGCAGGGTAACAATTAGGAGATAAACATACTGTGTTTTCAATGTAGAGCTAGGTTACCTGTAGATTTAACCCCGCTAAATTGAATTTGGAACCGAACGCGCAGCGTGAGGTTCAAATGTTAAATTTAGCGCGGTTAAATCTACAGGTAACCTAGCTCTACATTGAAAACACAGTATGTTTATCTCCATTCTACCATGACTAAATAAAACGCGAACTCTTTGGTGTTAGCAAATATACTGAGTGAAGCGGCATGGGTTGAGTTCAGTGTTTTGAGTGGGTTATCGATCTGAATAACGGAATCACCGAACAAAATATGGTGCTGTATATACTCAAGCAGTTTGTTTACTCCGTAATACTTCACTCGAACATATGACAGGCATTAAAAGCATATAAGCACGGCAACTTGGTAAGCTAACATGAGGTGGCCATCCCTAAGAAAACAAAGCAAGCTTTGCAAGTCTTTCGCTCTACATCTCACGTCACCATTATGACGTCATATCGCCCATTGTGACGCAAAATATATGACGTCACAGTCGTATATAGAAAAGCGCCAAAATTTCAAGCTCTCTGTAGTCTCCAAAACGTAAATACATTCCCTTTGTTGATTTCTGTCGTGTTTTTCTGCACGAAATGTATTGCCACACATCCTTTTAATATTGTAGTAACCGCATCCGTGCATTTTGTAACCTGTAATTGTAGATATAGTTATTTAAATATGCCTACCGACAATGACTGAAAATAGTACTATTCTATGAATATTAGCTTCCGCGGTGATGCGGCCGTCAAACCAGCTGTTTCAATCAGAGGGGGTTTATTGTGATTTAATAGCCTCTGATTGACCAATCAGAATCGGGTAAATTCCAAATTCATGGTAGAATTATATATAGAGAATCTCACCCGTGTGTCATTTGATATTAAATACATGTATATCAACACGAGTTGACAAAAGTGGAAAAACTCCGAGGCCTGCTAACAGCTTCAGTAGCAGAGCCATTAGTGATGTCATTTGATTGTGACGTCACAATGTTCTGCAAAGCATTGTGATGCAATTTCATGCAGCGATATCTACAGTATATCGCTTGATCTCACCCAAGCGATATCTCCTGTGGGAGCCAGTTTTGGATGATAAAATACTATTAACTGCTATTAGCGTTTGTAACGCGGCTTATGAACGATATTACGATTTTACATCACTTCTATTATGGAAATGGAAACACGATCAATGGGAGGTAACTCTAAGTTCCATTATCAATACACGTGTAGTTGGTTGTTGACAAAATGACACTGGTCGCCATCAAATATACACGTGGCAAACTGGAAATCTTAGACCAGTTATTGTTGCCAACACAATCAGAATATATTCCAGTAAAGAATTCCGGGGATGGATGGAATGTCATCAAGAAAATGCAGGTGAAAAATATCATCATATGTGGGTCATTCCACAGGAACTCGATGATAGCGTGTAGACCTATAGCATAATATATTCGTATAGAAAAAAAAATTCACACCCCTCTATATATATAGACTATATGTATATAGAGGGGTGTGAATTTTTTTCTGTACGAATATATTATGCTATAAACGCTGTCATCGAGTTCCTGTGGGTCATTCTCAGGAAATGTTTGAATCCCTTTTCTTCTGCCACCACTGCCCAGTGCTGATCCAGCATTTTTAAAAGGTATGGTTCCAAAAGCTTCTTGGTCCGTACCACAGGAACTCGATGATAGCTTATATAGCACAAAATATTTGTATAGAAAAAAAAATCACACCCCTCTCTCTCTTTATATATATAGCCTATAGACTATATGTATATAGAGGGGTGTGAATTTTTTTCTATACGAATATATTATGCTATACACACTATCATTGAGTTCCTGTGGTCCGGACCCACTGATGTCACTCTGCAGGTAGTGTCATCAGGAATCAGAAAACTTTATTAAAATCACCTCTTTTACAATCCATTGGGATTCCGTGTAAACCTATTTTAGTCTTAAGAGGGGACTAATTGGATCGGATTGTCAGGCTCATTGAATAGGTTGATTCAAAGACGTATATACGTCTTTGGTTGATTGTATGTCAATGTGTCCCAATTGCGTGATGTCAATCACTGAATTGTCTGGTCCAGACTTGATGTTTTACAGACCACTTTCATTCAGCTGAAAATTTGTTGAGTGATGTGTTAAACAAAATACAAAACTCTCTCTATTTTGAAGATTCTTTATCTCAAAATCAGAAATGGTGGGTCATGTGGACTTTGTAGTTTTCAATTCAACAAGGTTGTAATGATATCAATTCAAATATATTTCATAGATATTGTTAAATGAGTATATGTTGACAGTATACATGTATATATATATATATGTTCCCCCCCAAGGTGCGAGGTGCACCTGCTATAGCAATCGTGGGCTGTCTGAGTCTGGCCGTGGAGGTGGCTGAAGATCGGGAACACAGCACAGTGGGTGACCTGGCTCACTTCATCTGTGACCGCCTACATCACCTAGTGACTGCCCGCCCCACTGCTGTCAACATGGCCGAGGCTTCAAAGAGACTGACCACACTCATGAAGGACATGGCAGCAGAGTCTGGACAAAGAGTGGACACTTTGAGAGAGAGGTAGGCTGACCCTGGCCACGCCTCTACTTTAAGGGTTTGCAGAGTATTGGGCCCCGTTCCACAAAGCGATCTTAGCGCTAAGATGATCGTGACTTCCATACTTAAAGATAGGCTAAAGTCAATCATAGCATGAAGATCACTTTGTGGAATGGCCCCTGAGCAATAAGCTTCGACAGTTCACAATGATACTAACAAGAAGTTTGTGTAGCTCAATATTTGTTTAGTTTTATAGGCAAGCTGTGCTGGTTGGTCAGTTAAGTGGGAAAAAATAGAGGCTCATAGTACTGTTCATTGCCACAATGTTAGGTATTTTTACATTAATATGTATGTGTATTTACTGATGAAAGGGCTGTGTTCTCTGAGGAAGCAGATTGCTGAGGACAGAGGCAAAACATTCAATGCATTTGACAAAATATTGTTAAAAAAGCTAACAGTTACTTTAATTTTGTATGATTTTTTAAGTTGTATCTTCATTTTTTCAAATGTATCAAAGATGGACCATTCTAGTGATACACAAATGGGCGTCCAGTACTCACAAATGTGGAGAATGGACGAGAAAAAGAATACACTGCATCCTGAGGGATGCACAATATTTAATATTCATTGTACCTACAGCGTATGAAGAGCAGTTATGGGTGTCTGTTATTTCATCCATCAATCAATACCACTGTCCACATGAGACCACCTATGTGATCTAGAGGTAGAGCGTCCGCCCGGAGAGCGGAAAGTCTGTGGTTCGATCCCCGGCCGCATCATACCAAAAGACGTTAAAAGATGGTACTTGTTGTTACCCTGTCTGGTGCTCGTCATTGAGGGGCTAAAACAAGGACTGGTCGGCATGGAGTCAGTATACTGTGTCTGAGTGGGGTATTCATGTTAAACTGCGGCATGGTATCTCAGTGTGCTCGCACTATAAATCGGCATCAGTCCGGACTAGTTCAAGCAGCCACACACACACACACACATACACACGTGCATGCAAGTCGCAATATAAGTGCAATAAGGAGATGTTAAAAGCCATTTCACCTCAACTCACTGTCCACATGATCATTGATTCATTCCAGGCTGTAAACAAATGATCTGAATGTACAGACACTACACCATTTCATTACTTTACAGGACCCTCATGTTGCCTGCAAGGACCCATAAAATTAATTATTGGGGGTCCTCTGGACCCTCTCTTTTGTTAGTCAAGGTAAAACCCTTTGCAAAAAATGAATTAAGACAATTAAGTTTAGTTTTGTTACCAAATTGTGTGAAAGGATGTATATGTTTTGTCTGTAGGTTTATGAAAGAATGTGAGGATATGCTGGAGAAAGACATTGCTGTCAACAAGAATATTGGAAAATATGGCGCCGACCATATACTGGCACAGTGCAAGAATAAACCAGTGAAAGTCCTCACTCACTGCAACACAGGCTCTTTGGCGACTGCCGGCTATGGAACTGCCCTGGGTAGGTGCTTGTGTCTACAGTTGGTACAATGTAGGCTGTGTAACTGCCTAGGCAGGTGCTTGTGTCTACAGTTGGTACAATGTAGGCTGTGTAACTGGGCAGGTGCTTGTGTCTACAGTTGGTACAATGTAGGCTGTATAACTGCCTAGGCAGGTGCTTGTGTCTACAGTTGGTACAATGTAGGCTATATAACGGCCCTAGGCAGGTGCTTGTGTCTACAGTTGGTACAATGTAGGCTATATAACGGCCCTAGGCAGGTGCTTGTGTCTACAGTTGGTACAATGTAGGCTGTGTAACTGGGCAGGTGCTTGTGTCTACAGTTGGTACAATGTAGGCTGTATAACGGCCCTGGGCAGGTGCTTGTGTCTACAGCTGGTACAATGTAGGCTGTATAACGGCCCTGGGCAGGTGCTTGTGTCTACAGTTGGTACAATGTAGGCTGTATAACGGCCCTGGGCAGGTGCTTGTGTCTACAGTTGGTACAATGTAGGCTGTATAACGGCCCAAGGCAGGTACTTGTGTCTACAGCTGGTACAATGTAGGCTGTGTAACTGGGCAGGTGCTTGTGTCTACAGCTGGTGCAATGTAGGCTGTGTAACTGGGCAGGTGCTTGTGTCTACAGTTGGTACAATGTAGGCTGTGTAACTGGGCAGGTGCTTGTGTCTACAGTTGGTACAATGTAGGCTGTGTAACTTGGCAGGTGCTTCTGTCTACAGCTGGTGCAATGTAGGCTGTGTAACTGGGCAGGTGCTTCTGTCTACAGCTGGTGCAATGTAGGCTGTGTAACTGGGAAGGTGCTTGTGTCTACAGCTGGTACAATGTAGGCTGTGTAACTGGGCAGGTGCTTGTGTCTACAGTTGGTACAATGTAGGCTGTGTAACTGGGCAGGTGCTTGTGTCTACAGTTGGTACAATGTAGGCTGTGTAACTGGGCAGGTGCTCCTGTCTACAGCTTGTGCAATGTAGGCTGTGTAACTGGGCAGGTGCTTGTGTCTACAGCTGGTGCAATGTAGGCTGTGTAACTGGGCAGGTGCTTGTGTCTACAGTTGGTACAATGTAGGCTATATAACGGCCCTAGGCAGGTGCTTGCGTCTTGAAGAAACCTTTATACTGTTCAGTACTCATAACCTGAAACAACATTGAATCTTCGGTCATCACTGCTAAGTAACTTTTGTGATATGTTTTGCCCCAAAGTTCGTCCTTGGAAGGCCAACCCTTCCTGATATTCATTGAACAGTTCCCTCCCTGCAGTAGAAACAAACTACCCACCAACTATCTCTGACAATGTCTTGACATGAATAGAAGTCTTGGTTCCTTCACTTACAGAAACAATGAACGATTATAATGAGACATTCTAATGTGTTACAGGTGTTGTACGAGCACTTCACGAGAGAGAGAAGATCTCACATGCATATTGCACTGAAACCAGGCCCTACAACCAGGGCTCAAGGCTGACAGCGTACGAGCTAGTCCATGAGAAGATCCCTGCTACTCTTATCTGTGACAGCATGGCAGCTATTCTCATGGACCAGCAGGATATTTCAGCCGTAGTTGTTGGAGCAGACAGAGTTGTTGCTAATGGCGACACTGCCAACAAAATAGGGACATATCAGTTGGCAATAGCGGCCAAACATCACAACGTGCCATTCTATGTTGCTTGTCCTTCAACAACCTTTGACCCGAACTTGACCTCAGGGAAGGACATTGAGATTGAGGAACGACCTAGCGGGGAGATGACAAGCGTGAAGGGAATCAGAGTAGCAGCTCATGGTGAGTGGGAGCAGTGTCCAGAATAACAGCTTGCCTGCAGGCCCATGGCTAATAACTTTTCTGTTGGACTGCATCAAATTTTCCTCCACCTGCCGACTGTCTGGCAGACAATTTTAAGACTACTTATGTATTATTATAGTTGCAGTTTTATTATAACTCCTCCTAAATTCTGTGTTCCTGTATATTTGGTATACAAAATATAACATTTTTCTTTAAAATTTGTATCTTTTAACCTAAAATTTATTTGCAAATGATGTTTCATTTCAAAATTGATTGACAGAGTGGCGGAAGCACGGAAGTGTTTTTCTTTCCAATTATCTCCCCTGTATCCATGCCTACAAAACTGACCATGCTGGGGAATATTTACTGAAAATTTATTCTGTCCCCCTCCACAAATAATAAGTGGCAAGTCCCTTTAACTCATGTTGTTTTTGTTGTCCAGGAATCAACTGCTGGAACCCGGCATTCGACATCACCCCTGCCAGCCTCATCACGGGCGGGATCATCACCGAGTTTGGGGTGTTTTCCCCTGCCGACCTCAAGGCACAACTCGCAGACTGCTTGAAGACTGACAACTGATTGGGTGAATTCCAGAGCATTAATCAAGAATATTTGCTTTTCCGCAGGGTCTTTGTGTTGTCATAGCATGGGTAACAGGTATTACACATTGTGTTCAAGGAAAACAGAATTTCTCAACTTATGATTTTGATAATCTACTATAATGGCAATCATTTCTACCTTAATGTGTATGAGTTGTCATGTTCCCAGGACAAGGGAGTTGACTGTGAAGGACCAGTTTCCTACCAAGCTGAACTAGACTGGAATTTCTGGGCTCAATCGTAGTGCAACCAGTGGCTATTACAAGTTATGTCCCTTCTAGAGCCCTCCTATGGACCAATCAGATTCTACCTCTCATATTACTTGCATTTGCTTCAAATAAAATGGTGTTGCCCAGTGAAGACGATCTGATCGTTAATGAAGATCTATATTGTTATAAAACCGGTCGTACTTTGCGAAATGCATCAAATCACGTGAGCACCCTGATGAAAAACATGAAAAGATTTGCAAAATATCTGTTGACACTTAGTTGGAGGTTCACATGCTTTGCAAATCCTGCAGTCGAGCGAAATCTGCACGTTTAAATCCATTCTGTAAACAAACCAGATGTCTAGTTTGTTACGTGATTTTGATTGGACTATGCATAGACTCGTTAGTCCAGCCAAAATATGACTCTGGAATTCCAGCCTAGTTCGCAAGGGTGGAAAGTGGACTCTTACAGTCAGTTAACTCCCTTGCCTCGGGAAGATGAACAGAGAAGTACACTCATTGTAACACAGAGGATAGTCCTGGATTTATGATTCCACCAATATTACCTAAATCTACCAGAGTATCAGATTGTGTGTAGCTGCTTACATTCATATGTGTTCATCTGTGAGTCTGTGTGTGTGTGTGTGTGTGTGTGTGTGTGTGTGTGTTGGTGTTCGTGTGTGTGCTCATGTGTCTGTGTGTGTGTTGGTGTTCGTGTGTGTGCTCATGTGTGTGTGTGCTCATGTGTGTGTGTGTGTGTGTGTGTCTGTCTGTGTGTCTGTCTGTCTGTTGATGACTGTTTCCTGATTGGCTGATATTAGAATGTGTGAGACATGTATTGCTTTTTTGTGCTGAATGATGTCACTGATTTCATATTGTTATCAACATATTTTGTATGTTAATGATTAAATAAGAAATCTGTGAAGTTATCATTGTTTACATGTTTTTTTAATAGGAATTGACATTTCCATGTACCCAAAATTAATTGCTTACTTAGTTTAATGGTCAGTGTGTTTAGTGTCCAGGTAAGAAAATAATTGAACAGAAGAGTCGACCATTGACCTACATAACTAAGACCATTGATCTACATAGCTAAGGGGGGTTGGAGGTACACAGCAACAGTGTTCCTCACAGCAGTCACGGCCATTATACACTTCAGCAAAACTTCAGCACATTCTTTTATTGAAGTCTTCGATAGGCATTTATAACTTTTAGAAGATGGGAGAACATGAATACATGACACCTTTTTATGGATAGCAACTTCTTGTACTTTTTGTATGACGTTTCAGAGCTACTTCTTGCTGCTTCATCAGGTGCTTAGTAAATGCGTAGAGTACTATATATACATAAATCATGATGTTTACACAACACAAGGTGGGATTAAAGTACAAAGATAACAAACACACACACACACACACACACACACACACACACACACGCAAAGGGGAGTTGAAGGGTTTACTCTTGTCATTAGCTGGGGTAGAATAGGTCTTCAGCAACCCATGCCTCGGGAAGATGAACAGAGAAGTACACTCATTGTAACACTGAGGATAGTCCTGGATTTATGATTCCACAAATATTACCTAAATCTACCAGAGTATCAGATTGTGTGTAGCTGCTTACATTCATATGTGTTCATCTGTGAGTCTCTGTGTGTGTGTGTGTGTGTGTGTTGGTGTGTGTGTGTTGTCTGTCTGTCCGTCTGTTGATGACTGTTTCCTGATTGGCTGATATTAGAATGTGTGAGACATGTATTGCTTTTTTGTGCTGAATGATGTCACTGATTTCATATTGTTATCAACATATTTTGTATGTTAATGATTAAATAAGAAATCTGTGAAGTTATCATTGTTTACATGTTTTTTTAATAGGAATTGACATTTCCATGAACCCAAAATTAATTGTTTACTTAGTTTAATGGTCAGTGTGTTTAGTGTCCAGGTAAGAAAATAATTCGAACAGAAGAGTCGCCCATTGATCTACATAGCTAAGGGGGGTTGGAGGTACACAGCAACAGTGTTCCTTACAGCAGTCACGGCCATTATACACTTCAGCAAAACTTCAGCACATTCTTTTATTGAAGTCTTCGATAGGCATTTATAACTTTTAGAAGATGGGAGAACATGAATACATGACACCTTTTTATGGATAGCAACTTCTTGTACTTTTTGTATGACGTTTCAGAGCTACTTCTTGCTGCTTCATCAGGTGCTTAGTAAATGCTTAGTAAATGTGTAGAGTACTATATATACATAAATCATGATGTTTACACAACACAAGGTGGGATTAAAGTACAAAGATAACAAACACACACACACACACACACACACACACACACACAAAGGGGAGTTGAAGGGTTTGCTCTTGTCATTAGCTGGGGTAGAATAGGTCTTCAGGAACCCATGCTTGCCGTAAAAGGCGACTATGCTTGTCCTAAAAGGCGACTAACGGGATCGGGTGGTCAGGCTCGCTAACTTGGTTGATGCATGTCATCGATCCCAATTGCGTGGATCGATGCTCATGATATTAATCACTGGATTGTCTGGTCCAGACTCGATTATTTTACAGACCGCCGTCATATAGCTGGAATATTGCGGAGTGCGGCGTAAAACCACAAAAAAAAAAACATTAGCCGGAGTAGCAAAACTGGTCGTCATTCAAATTGAAAGGTTGACATCATTTAATGCCTACAACTCGTGGACTCGTTTATGCCAAAACACACTTTTCCATTTTTCATAGTATTGCCGATGTGACGTTAAATATTAACTCACTCACTCACTCACCATTTTTCATAGAATTCGATGTCTCACGTCAGGTAGTATCTATACACTTTCCAATCTCCTTCCAGATTGTAGAAATGGAAAGGTGATTCATTTTTTCTCATAATTTATATTGTGGAAAAGATAGAATATATGAACTTGACGATAAACTTGTGAACGATCACGTAAGCATAGCGTAATCTTTGTTTGAAGACCTGTGTCATTGCCTTGAAACTACCCAACGAAATGTCAACACGCCCAGTCAAGGCAGGGGAGATAACTGGTTCGATTTGGAATGCAGAGAGGCCGCGCACGAGCAAGTGTACGTGTGTTGCACGGAATGCAGAGAGGCCGCGCACGAGCAAGTGTACGTGTGTTGCACTACTCTAACAGTATATACGATCGCCAGTTACACATTACTGCACGGAGGAGATATATAGACACGTGTGTTAACAATTCTAAACATTACTTAAGATTATTTACGGAGACATTAACAACGGCCTTTGGACAGAATCAAAGCTACTTCGTGGTAGGCGGGAATGTAATAAGTTGTCCAAAGTGCATTCCTTCTTGGATGACTTTGTTGACTCGCAAAGTGAACACCGTTGATGTTGAAAGTGACTATGGCAATGACATTACCTCGCTTGAGGTGAGGTGAAATGAGGTTTAACGTCGCGTCCAAGACCATTGCACTTATATAGCGACATGCATGCACCAGTCCTGACTGATGCCGATTTATGGTGCTTGCACACTGAGATACCATGCCGCATTTAACATGGATACCCCACTCAGACACAGTATACTGACTCCGAGCCGACAGTCCATGTTTTAGCCCCTTAATGTCGAGCGCCAGACAGGGTAACAACAAATACCATCTTTAAACGTCTTTTGGTATGACGCGGTCTGGGATCGAACCCGGGCCTTCCGCTGTCCGGGCGAACGCTCTTCCACTGGACCACGGAGGCGGTCACTTTACTTGAAATCGACTAAGCAATTGAACGTGTGACGTCTGGAAAGGCCCCCGGGTCTGATGGAACACTTACTGAATTCTGTAAACCTGCTCCTCCACTGTCCCCGCATTGGGATGTTCCAAAATTATATAATACAATACTGATGTTTGTTTTTTTGTTGTTTAACGCCACACTCAGCAATATGACGGCAGTCTGTATATAATCGAGTCTGGATCTGACAATCAAGTGATTGGCATCATGAGCAGCGGCCTACGCAATTGGGATACGACGACATGCAGCAACAAAGTCGGAGAGCCTGACCACCCGATCCCGTTAGTCGTCTCTTACGACAAGCATAGTCGCATTTTACGGCAAGCCTTGGTTGTTGAAGACGAATTCTACCCAGGATCTTCACGGGTCACTGATGACAGGTATTATCCCGACCAATGTTCCTATGGTGTTATTCTTCCTGTATTTAAAAAAGGTAATCCTGACATTCCTTCAAATTACAGGCCAATTACGCTTTTGGATGTAGCGGGTAACGATCATATGCAACAGACTAATTATATGGTCCAATCAAGAAAACGTTATTGCTAGAGAAGAAGTGTTTTTTCGAAAGGGATGTCAGACTGTAGATAACATTTTCATTATTGACGCTATTATAAAAAAATATGTCCCAGAAGAGATGTGGAATGCATGCTGCGTTTCTTGACTTAAAAGCTGCATTCGATTCGGTTTATCGAAATGGGTTATTATTTAAACTTTGGATAGGGGCAGAACATTTAATTTAGACATATAAATCAGAAATATTTATGAATGTCTCCAATCTCGTATCTCCCTGCTAGAATACGTTTCGTATGTCACTCTAGAACGGATAAGACAGGGGTGCGAATTACTCCCTTTTTTCCATCTATATAAATGATGTCATAGACTTTTTAATTATGACGGCCAGCGTGGGGTAACCCTGTGATGTTGGAAATCTTCAGTCTGTTATTAGCGGATGTCATTGTCCTAATGGGTGTAAGTGTTGGGTTACAAAAGCGCCTGAATATATCGGGAACATATTGTGATAAATGGAAGTTAACAGTTAATACTGAAAAAGGTAAAGTAATAATATTCCGAAATGGCGGTAAACTACGAAATCATCAAAAGTTTGAAATAGATAACTCAAACCTTGAACGAAATTATAAATATTTGGGTGTGCAATTATGCTATCTTGAAGCATTCGTATAAATATCAGTATCACAGAGCAGAAAATGGTAAAGTCTGTAAAAATTGCTATTTCTTATCACTTTTAAAAAATATCATACGGAAAATGAAGGCAGTGCTCGTTTCCGGAGCAGAACTCCAAACCCGTTGAATATTTCTGGATTGAATTTGCTATACAGATCAGTCTATTGGTGTCTTTTGATGATTTGGGATTTTGAAAAATGCTGAACAGCATTAACTTGTTCTTCACTGAACTGAAGCTATCCGATGACAATGAATCAAAAAAGAAGAGCCAAACTCCATCTTCGACTTGCACCGGACCGGGGGGTATGCCATCTCCCGATGACGCTTGTTAGATATGGCTTTGGTGAAACTTGGCAGGAACAAAGTGTTAGAAGTAACAATTTATTCATATATCTTTTAAACAGAGATGTTCATAAATTAATTACCAAGTGTGCAATGGTCGTATAAATAATAACTCCAAACTTGAATTTCATTGTGCAATAAAAGATATATGCCTGACTACCAATTTCTCTTCAAACAAATGACGTTAAAACTTACAGAAATTCTTTTATTAGATTTTGTTGTTCAAGTCCTTACCTACTGATAGAAGTAGGAAGAATGTACAATATACCATGATCCAAACGACTTTATCCCTTTTGTGTTTTGCCTTTATCATGTCTGCCTGGACTGCCCCGTTCATTCTAGTTTAAGCGATTCTATTCTTCCCAAATACTATTGCACATCTCCCAGCCATGCAAAGAGTCAAATGCTGAATTCATTTTTCTAGACCTAAAGAAGAGTAGCACTTACTTGAAGAGAGCACCAATACTGCGATACATGTGTATTGCATGCTGTACTAGCTGATACTCTGCGCTCTGTCCAAATGTACTAGGGGGCACGGGTGGCCTTGTCGTCTAAGGCGCCGCGGTTCGCTGTGCAGAGTTGCGTCCCTTTGGCACGCCAGAAACCTATGATTGTGGGTTCGAATCCCAATTATGTTTCTAGGTTTATCAGCACCATACCCGTGCTCGTGGGTTTCATCGAAGTGGTAAACGTCTGAAACCTGCATCGCTTCGGGCTTTCCTCCCACGGCGAAACCGCATTATCGGTGGTTCGAGAAGGGAGCTAACTCCGTTTGCCTAATCGAAAGTTCGAGGTGGGCCCACATTCGAAACTAAACGCACTTGTTGTTGAGAATATATACTACGTAAACAAACCCGCATAACGAACTCATAATTTGTCTATTTAATTTGACTTATAATTGGATTAAAATGTACAAATAAGATGGCAATACAGCAGAACTCACTTCTACGTACATCGCCAAACTAGGTCGTGGGGTTATTAATATTCATGAGTTATTCCTTTTATGGAACAAGTTCTCGGAAACGTCTGAGGCTTGTATCATGTCCGAGATCAATTCAAGTGTAGACAAATGTTCAGGCTTATATCGCCACCAACACTTATGATTAGATTGATGTGTTATACTGGAAAAGGTAGAATGAGTGGTATTGCCTCTGTAATTTTAATTTGAAGTAGATTTAAGTTTCTTGCTTGGTAGCTATTTTTGTAAAACTAGTGTGGTCAGCTATGACGCAGTTATTCAAACTTCAAAGACTTTTGTGCCTTTTATGGAATTAATGTCACACGAAATGATTTATAAAGATATTTCCCATCAATATTACAAAATATGAATAATATAAAATGTCACATAATGACAAACGTGAGCCCAATAGCCTAAATGACTTCGTCAACCTTATGAAACCCAGCGATTTAAAAATGTGGGCCCACCTGTTTCGATCACTATAAGACGGGAACAATGTGGGCCCACATTTTAGAAAATGGTTATAAGTAAGCAAAGCTAATGAAGCTAGCGATTTTTTAATGTGGTCCCTCCTTTTGCAATCACTATGACGGAAGAACGTCT